ATAAAACAAGATTATATATAATAATATATATGGAAAAGATAGAGCTCACTGCATTCAGTGATATGATTATTAAGATAGAAAATCACAAGGAAATAGGAAAAATTGCTTAAAACCTTAAAGTGAGTTCAACAAGTTAAAAAAATACTAGATTAAAAAGCCACACATAGCAGTGAATACCTTTAATCCCAGAGGCAGAGACAGGCAGATCTCTGTGAGGTCCAGGCCAGCCTGGTCTACATAGTGAGTTCCAGGCCAGCCAGTGCTGCATAGTGAGACTCTGCCTCAAAACAAAAGAAAACAAACAAAAAACGAAAAAGAACAACAAAAAGATAAATGTTGAAAAATCAACTTCATTCCTGCAGGTTAACAAGAAACAAAGCGAATAAAAATTTAATACGATTTTCAGGACTGAGGATGTAGCTCAGCAAGAGAGTGATTACCAGCATGCTCAAGTCCCTGGGCTCAATCCTGAGTGGCACAAAAATATAGAAACAGTATAATTTCATTGATAACTTAAGAAGATCATACGTCAGTGTAATTGGATCAAAACACATACAGAACTTCCACATAGAACATAATATGCTAAAGAAAAATAAAAATGACCTTCGAATACACTCAAGTTCCTTTCCACAAAGCTGCAAAAGCAACTCAATAGAGGAAAAGTCACTAACTTTTCCAGAAATTAGCAATGGAATTCCATTACTCACTGGACAGTCAAGTGGACAGAGAAAATTGATCTTTGACCTATATATACCACAGAACTTATACTATAAAATTTGACTTCAAAAGACTACAGATCACATATAGAATATAAATTTTTTTTTTAAATTGTAGGAAAAACACAGATCTTTGAGGGTGAGGATGATATGCTCAGCTTTTAATGTGAAACAAAATGCATAATCAACAAAAGGAAAAATGGTAAGTTTAACACTCTGAAAAATATTTTAATTATTTTTTATTTTATGTATATGAATGCTTTGCTTGCATGTATGTAAGTGTGCTTAAGCAAATAATTCCCATGGAGACCAGAGAGGACTTCAGATCCCCTAGAACTGAAGTTTCAGACAGCTGTGAGCTGTCATGAGGGTGCTGGGAACTGAACCCAGGTCCTCTGGAAGAGCAGCCTGTGCTCTTAACCACTGAGCCTGCTCTCCCTGTTAAGAGGATAAAAAGACGGTATTCAAACTGAGAAAATGTTTGCAAGCCACAAAACTATCTAACAGATTACTATCTAGAATATATAAAGAACTCTCTAGACTCTAATAAAAACAGAAAATAACTCAATTTTAAAATTTTCAAAAGATATAGTAATTGAATTTTTAATCCTTAGCATATAGTGATACATTCTGAGGTATTTATGAGTGAAATGGTGTTGTGAAGTGGTGTTTATAATTTTCTTAAAAATAAATTTGTCCTATAGGTCATCTAGTTGAAAGAAGAATCAAAAACAATATTAAGTATTGGAACTGGGTAATGAATATGTAGGGATTTGTTAGAACTTGCTCTATCTTGCATATATTTGAAATTTTCCTTAATGAAATACATTTCATGCTATCTCAAATAGCATAGGGATTAAGTATCCTGTAAACAAAATAAAAATTGTCAAAATAAACAATGGGGCCAGTAAGATGGCTCAATGGCCTGATGATCTGAGTTTGAGGGCTTGAACTGTGGTAGAAGAAAACTTCTTACTAAAAGTTGTCCTCTGACCTCACACCCGCACAGTGGCAGATATACACCATCATGCACATACATATACACTAATGATAAATAAATAATAAAAATAAAAAGTAAAAGTCCCAAATGGATGTTATTAACACACACACTTGACAAGTAAGCACGTGGGAATAATAGCTTGGGGAGGGGGTGACATTAAAACTATAAGAGAATGCTTCAAAGTTCCTATCAGGAAGAATAAAGTGAAATAAAGAAAAACAGCAGCAGTAGTAAATACTGGTGGGGATTTGAAGAACCAGACTACTCAGAATTCTGGTGGAAAAAAGTTTTACAGTTTTTTGGTGGTGGTGGTGGTGGTGGTGGTGGTGGTGGGTTTTGTGTGTGTGTGTGTGTGTGTGTGTGTGTGTGTGTGTGTATCACACAGAACATCCCAAACCATCTTATTCCTCTATACACCCACTTCCCAGATGGCACCTCCCATAGCCTCCTTGCCCCCCCAAGAGAGCCCTTATACTCTGTCATCGCTGCCACTGTCCACTGTGTTGTTGGCACCCCAGCCATTCCCCACTACTTGTCCATCTGGTGAATCTAGTCAGCCTATCTAGAGGTCTTTGTTTTAGGAAGGTCAGCTGTTCCTCAGCTAGCAGCAATCAGTTGTCAATATTCCTTTAGATAAGATTGGGGTCTGCTGTTCATTTTCCTGGTTCTATTCTTTTGTTCTATCTGTTTGTCTCTTGGTCTACCCTGTCAAACTGCTCAATAGAATGTATCTCCTGTCTGGCATTGTTGCTTGTTATGTAGCCTTTAGCTACACACATGGACTCTTAAAAAATTATACTGGCCCCTTTAATCTTTGGTTATACTTTCCTTTTGGGTATTTAATACCCTATAGTTGGCCCAGATAAACCAACTTTATTTTGCTCTAAGGCTGCTTGAGGATCTGTTCCTCAGGGGTCACATGGGCTTGGGAGGAGCCCCTGGCTCCTTTTTTTACCAGCTCCGTCTATAATAAAAACACTCAAGTACCCTATGAAACAGCAACTGCATTTCTGGGCATCTACCCCAGAGAAATGAAGACTTAAGTTCATGCAAAATTTGTGTACAAATATTTATAGCAGCATTATTTGTAATAACACTAAACTGGAAATAACTCAGATGTCCTTCAGTGGGTGAGTGGTTAAACAAACTGTGCGGAACAACATTCAGCAATAACACAGATTAGTTATTAACACAGACAACAATTCGGATAAATCTTCAGAAAATTACACAGAATGACGAAAACAAAAAGTCACATATTATATGATTCAGTTTATGTAAACATTACTAAAATAAGAAAATTGTAAAAATTGAGACTATACCAGTGAAGCGAAGATGACCGATTCCAAATATTTACAAAAAAGTAAAACTTACAAAGAGGGCTTAAAAGAATATTAGGAAGGAATTAGAGGAGTGAAGCCAGTCAGAAAGTCTTCATGTCAGACTGAACAAGAAACTAAGAGTTTGAATCCAGGAGAAGAACAAATAGGGGAACATTTTGAAGCCAATCAGATGATATTTCAATGAAAGAAAGGGCAGGACATGAAGATATGGTGAAAAGAGCCTAATGAAAGTCAGGAAAACACTACATAAAGCTAAAAGGGAAGCTCTCGATTATGTGGAACCGAACCATGGGTATTGTACTGAACACATGCTGCTCAGTGTTGTGCTGAGAACAAAGATCTAGTGAGATGAACTGAAAAGTGAAGGAAATAGTATTCCACAGGTTGGTGGCTGAAGTTTAATAAAATACACGCCATTAAAGAGTGGTGGTGATCGTGAAGCTTGGAGGAAACTGATTGTGTGTTTGCTAAGGCCATTGCTGATGAAAATCTGCTGCCAAAGGAAGTCTGATGCTGAAGAGGCATCACTGTTGGGGGGATCTTGCCCTAGAAAGCCACCACAGCTGGTGAGAAAACCCCTAAAGGGGTGAAAGGTGAAGAGACTGTGCCGGAACCCCCAGGCTGGCAGGCACCAGAGGCTGCTGTGACAGGTAAACACTTGCCGCCTTTAAAGAAGTATTTTCACCACTCCACTACCATGTTAACAGAAAGGGTTGGGGTCACCAGGGACCTCTTTTCTGGTCGGTTTCACAAACATTTTGGATCAGTGGCTTGAATTCACTGCAGGGAAGCTCAGCTAGATAATGACTGCCAGATTGTGTTATTCCCCGACAACTATTCTGTTGACCATCCAGCTGAAATTCTCACTAAAAAGAATGTTCATGTAATATCCTTTCCCTCAAATGTGACCTCATTAATTCAGGTATGCCACCAAGGTGTTCTACATCAATGCAGAGTCACAGCCAACTAGTAGCAGAGAACAGGAGCATGATGGGAAAGGTTTTAAAAGAGAGTTCAGATTGAACAACGTCATAAACTGTGTTGCCAGTACTTGGAACACAACAACTAAAAACACAGTAGTCAGTATGGTACAGACTGCAACTATATTGAGGGATGTCAATCAACAAAATGGTAACTTTGTAAGAAGGTCAGCTAAGAAAGTAAGACAGCTGATCTCCTTAGACACATACAAAATAGAGCCGTCCACAATCCATCAGTAAGCTGGAAAGGTTGGGCACTGAACAAACTTTTACATTTGAAAGTGGGGCTTCAGGTGTTCACTCATTGACTGATGATAAAATAACCAAAATGGTTTAAAATCAAAGTGGCTGAAATGATGATGATGATGATGATGATGGTGATGATGATGTTAACGCCACAGATATACCTGATGAAATTGCCTGATGGGTTTTAAAGGACTAGAGCAGTGTAGACTCATGAAAGAATGAAAAATCATGTCAATTTAGAAGATAAAGGAGAGACTTTAAGACAGAGCTGTTGTTCATGAGCAGATGGAAACATTTAACAAGCAATCCCTCAGGATACCTCCTCATTCCTAGGGGACCCACTTCCTATTTTGGTTTCTGCTTTGGATGCTTCTCACCTGAAAACTGAATAGCGCTGACGCTGACCACTGAATTGCAACACAAGATCATGTGACCTCGGAATCCCAGCACAGGGTCACAGGTGAAGCCAGAAAGCCTGCTGTTTTGTGGTTCTAGCGCTGGTGCTAACCTCAGGATGCTGCGTTCCTGCTTAGTCACTGTCAGCACAGTATTATCGTCACTGCAATTAGTGGCACAACATATTTTTTTCACTTATGTGTGAATAAGCAAGAAAATGTTCATCAGTCACATGTACAGTTAGTCAGGAATGGTGCACGTGGCCGAACAAATCGTCCGCATGGGTGGGTGAGGAGATGGCTGACACCTTTGTTGATGCTTTTGTGTGCACAAACTTTACACACAAAACTATGAACATTCGTGTAAGTTACTTTCATCCTACATGTTTAAGGTATACATGAAACATAATTCTTGTTTAGACTGGGGGAGATGTCTGAGCCCCCAAGTGTCTCATGTAGATGCAGATATTCCCAAATCTTACAGAAATTCCAAATCTAAAACACTACTGAGTCTAGGCATTTCAGATAAATGGATGTTCTGTCTGTGCTGGACTTTTTAGAAAGAAAAAAAGAATGTTTCCTAAGTATGCTTCATTAGGAGGTACAAAGGAATCTTTTAGAAATATATTTTTTATTCTTGGGAATGAATAATCTCTTACAATTACAGGTATGAAGGCTAGTAATGACAAATAATTCGAAATTCATCTCTGACCATTACTCATTTCTCTCTTTTTTCTCAAGACAGCAACATTTCATATAAACCTTAAAATACCAGGCTTTAAAATCAAGGAATAAATGTGTGCATACGTGGTGGACAGATAGTGTGATTTAGATGCTGAGTACTTTTGAGTACTGAAAAATACGCCCCAATGAACTGAATTGCCTACTTTTATACATCAGCAGGACACACCACTACTTACAAACACACTTCAATAGAAGTCAGTCATTCAAGTCGAGTCAAAGATGACAACTACACTATTTGTTTCCACTAGTAAATTCTGTTTTTGTCTACTTCGTGATTGTTCAATCAACCTGACTGTATAGAAACAATTTAGGGAAGGCAGTTTATTGCCATACACAAAAGGCTAAACTGTACTCTGCATATCTGAATATATCACTATTCAAGTCAAACTACCTCTTGCTTCCTACAATTGAGGAAATATTATTTCATTATTGAATTCAGAAGAGGAAATTTAACTAAAATTTGATATTTTGCATAGAGTCTCTATAGAATACCATAACTTCCTTATTTCACCAGAAACTTCAAAACATTACACTTAAGCTATCTGGATGCCTACATAACTGCTTTAAAAAAAATCCTTTAATTGTGGAGGGACAGGCCAAGGCGGCACTTCCTGTTTTGAGTCTGACGACCTAACCTAAGTTCTGCCAGACCTGGAGATCGCTGACACTGCCGAAGAACCAATGAGAGAGAAACATCTCAGACTCGGGGACCAATGGGAGGACAGGGAGGGGTATAAAGGTTGCTCCCTTGTATGCAATAAACGAGAGCTGTGCTTGCAACACAGTGAGTCTCCCGGAGTCTGTGTTGTTGACTTTGCACCTACTCATCCCCTGCCCCAGTGGTGGGAGAGAGGACTGGCCTAACAGCAACAACTGGCGCCCAACGGTGTCTACATGGACCTCTACTTAGTCCTGGGCCTCTTTACCTTAATCTCCTTTTTTGTTGCGGCGTTTTCTTTCTCTTTGTTTTCCCTGTTGCTGCCCAGATTGCCTCGCCAACTGATCCCACCATCGTCACTGTTCAACTCTCTGTTCAGGGTCCCCTCCGGCTGATTTCTTCGGTGAGTAGACTCCTTTTCTGTTCTTTGTTCTTTGCCCTAGGTCTGGTGAGTGACTGAGGGCCTTCTCTCCTTTTTCCTTGTTTGTCCTTCTCTAGGGCACATACACTCTGAAAATTGGTTCGCCCCCATGTCTCCACATAAGGATTGATCACCCAGGAGACAGAACTACAGACGCCCTCCCGACAGGGTGTCCTAGGACTGGAGACACCCTGTGGGCATATGGCCGTGGCCTAACGAACACGGAAGTCCCCCACAAAGCATTCTCACCTGGTTCCAAAACACCGCTCTTTCCTCCCTGTCTCTTTTACTTTCACTTTCAGTTCGCTCGTCAATCTGGTAAGGCAACCACCAGTTAAGAGCCCTTAGGGTGGTGGCAGGTCTCTTAAAATTGCGGGCAGGTTCTCCGTGACTGAGAAATATCCTCCCCACCTAAACGTTTCCTTTCCCAGCACGGCTTCTTTTCTTAGCCTCTTGTGTCTGATTTCCACATCACAATAATGGAAAACTTCCCGTCCCATTGCAAGGAGCCCCAGATATCTGCCTTAAAATCACTGTTAACCTCCCATAGGATTAGAGTAAAAAGAAATGACCTAGAGGACTTTTGGGCCGAGGCCTTGATCTCCCCTGAGATCCCATGGATCTCCCCTGAGAACTTGTGGGATCCTGATATGTGGATAAGAGTCCACTTTCTTTCAAGAAAACAGGAGATACAGGAGGGCAGAGCCCCCCAGCTCCCTTTATACCCATATTGCTCAGCATCCTTAGCAGCATCAAATCGGGTTCCACGGAGGATATTCTTAACTCCTTTAATAAACACTGCCAAGAGCAAAGAATGCACACTCTCTCCATCCAATCCCTCCTGACAATCCCAGAAGACCCGGACACCCCCAAACTAGACTCAGACCCTACCAGCGGTCCAGTAAACCCCCCCCCAGACAGACACCTAGTACTACAGCCCTCCAGGCAGAGACACCCCCCCCATATACCCTTGGGGCAAAATTAGGCAACCCACACCACCACCCACAAACCCTCCTGCATCTGAACCACTTCGTGATATATCTCTTTTCCCTCCCCTTCCTCCGGCATACACACCCATGCTCCCCGGACCCTCTTCCTCCACTAGCTACGCCTTCGCTGTCAATTTAGGTCCAGATGGGGCACAGAGGCCTTGGATTCCCACCCCATAGAGTTACTCCTCAGATATTGGAGATGCCATGTCCTGGAGACTCTGCCAGGCAGTTTCCCTGCTTTACCATACCTTGGGAAAGGACAAAATCTAGTGCCTGAATAAACCGCCTTGGGGCAATAGTACCATCCAGTCATCATATTATGCCCACAGAGACCCAAAACAAATGCTCAGGCCCATGTTGGGAGACTGGCCACTGTGCGGCCCCTCAGCCTACATGGATATTAAGCCTTTATTGTTTATAGCAGGCGGCCAAGTCTTCAATGGCACATTTTCTGCTAATAACTCATGGAAACAGTCTGTCAATATCACACGCAAAAGAATGCTTACATTTCTCCCTCTGGCAACCTGAGTTAGACCTCCCTTCTTCCTCCTAACAAATTCCTCAGATGACCTACTCAATTGCACAAGTAATGAGGGTTGCAAGCTCTCCTCCTGCTGGAGCAAAAATCAATCGCACAGAGCAGTGGAAATGTGCCTCCCCTGCCTACTATGGGTACCAGTCACTAATGCCTCTCATTTCCATGCAGTACAGATAGTACAACAGACTAGATTTAAAAGAGATTTTGGCATATCAGCGGCCATCACGATCGCGGTTGCCACCTCCATGGCGGCAGGGGCTGCTGCAGCGGTTGCAATTACTCAAACTGCTCAAACCACCACTGCCTTAAATAATATAGTTGTTCATTCTGCTAAGGTCCTGCATACACAGACCCTTATAAATGCACATTTTTATCCTGCTATCCAAAATCTACAACAACAAATAGACCTCCTTGCGGAGGAAATAGAGATCCTCAAAAGCTTAGGGGATCACCAATGTGACCCGTGATACCCCCAGATATGCTTTACCCCATATCAGATTAAAAATATTACCAAGGCCAGACAAGAGCTAGCAAATATCCTGAAGGGTACCTAGTCACAGAGATTTCTTAATCTGACATTCCAAATGACCCAGGAAATAACTGCCTTAAATTATACATAAATAGCTCCACCAAGCCTTGACACCACGTTCCTTACACAAATTTGGGAAAATCTAAAAAGAATCTTTGACCCTTCATGGTTGGTCACCTGGCTCCTCCTAGGTGGAATTGCCATTGTACTAATCCTCTTGTTTAAGTGTCTTCTTCAGCATATGCGCAGACAGAGAAATGCTAATAAAATAACCGCCCAGGTCCTCATGGCACTTCACGATCTAGAGACAAGACCCCCGCCGATAGTCATCAAGACCTGACACACAAAAATTCATAAGGCCTAAGATGTTCCCCACAGTCATTGACCAACACCCTGACAGCAGTTAAAAGTCACAATACAGTACTCGCTGTGCCAATGACCGGTAAGATCCTCCCACAACAGGTACTCCTAAGACAGGACATGCTAATGGTCATAGCATGTACCTATGACGGGCAAGGCCTGCTTGTGAGGAGGACAACCTAAGACAGGCCTTCGAGGCGATTGTAAAGAACGGAGAACAGTTAGCCGCTGCCCTGTTCCAAGCCGTCGCTTAATAAAACAAAAGGGTGGATTGTGGAGGGACAGGCCAAGGCCGCGCTTCCTGCTTTGAGTCTGACAACCTAACCTAAGTTCTGCCAGGAGACCTGGAGATCGCTGACATGCCCAAAGAACCAATGAGAGAGAAAAATCTCAGACTCGGGGACCAATGGGAGGACAGGGAGGGGTATAAAGGTTGCTCCCTTGTATGTAATAAACAAGAGCTCTGCTTGCAACACAGTGAGTCTCCCAGAGTCTGTGTTGTTGAGTTGGTGCCTACTCATCCCCTGCCCCTGTGGTGGGAGAGAGGACTGGCCTAACAGCAACATTTAATCACAATAAAATTGTTAAAAATATTTGTTTTGGTCTAGGCTGCATAATTAACATAAAATTTGAAGTCTGGAGATATCAACAGGATTATTAGAAGACCGAAAATGGAACCTCAAAATGAAAATAAAAGAAACATTTTTAAAAGGGAGATGAGAAAGGCCTTAATGAATTTAAATCATGGGAGATGGCTTTAATTGTTTTCTATCCAAACTTTCAATATTCTATAGTGTCAAGGAGGAAGCTGGGGAATTTTCTCTGTATTGTCATGAAAGATAGCAATAAGGTCCTTTGCAAACAGCAGGAATGCAGAATGTTTTGTGCACTATGAGTGCTATATGGGACAGCTTTCCTTTATTATCCAAGTCCTTTCTTTTAAAATGTGTCTGGGAGTATGGCATGTTAGCACCCCATCGAGAGCTGCTGCAGGACAGAAGCCCTAGAATGGTCATAACTCTAGAATTTTAAGATGTGTTTGTTTTCTTAATTGAAATACAATACCATAAATCATTATTGCTTATTGACCATCCATTCAAATGAAAACTCATGGTACCACCCTAACATTTATAATGTCAGTTGCTGGTTGTAGCTGTAACATTTGTCATTATTCCCAATACACTGTACTTTTTTTGTATTTTTAAAATAAAAATGCCGTGTTGCTATCTGTGGCTTATGTCCTTGAATCCTGTCTTCTGATTTCTGAAGACATCCTGACAGGGTCTTACCCAAGGTGTTCTTTTAAAGTAAGTGTTCAATTATTAAATTCATGCTGTGCATTTACTTAGGGAATATGAGAATACAGCACTCCTTCCTAAAGTCTGGCATTCAGTATCACCATTTATGAGCTCCCTGGTACAATTATTCTCTAATTTACAATAACCTAAAAATGTCACTACATGAATGAATTTTAAAATTATCACCCTTTTTCCTTTTACAAACTGGTGCTTGGCATCTCTTGTTTTGAAAACTTGGTGCTCAGAACATCAGAGAATAAATAGAGTTTAAGCCAAAGCTTAACTACAAGTTTAAAAGTCACATTTTGTAACACACACACACACACACACACACACACACACACATACACACACACATTCCAAATTGTTTGCCTAATTCTGTTGCTGTTAACTTCCCACAATATTTTTTTAGAATATCAGACAAACAGGCGTCAGTATGATTAATTCTGATGATTACGTACTTTTTTCTTATGCTCAGTGACCAATGGAAGCTCTGAGTTCAGCTAACTGTGCACAGTCTCTTCAGTTAGCCGAAATGTTTGTAAATAAATGGTATCTTTTCTCCATTAACATGTCTCCATCTTGACCTCCAAGAGAGGATTGTGTGGGTAATCTCAGATGACTAATTTGTCTTTTCTTTAACCTACTGCAAAAATAAAGTTCAGAAACCACAGAAATATTTTAAAATATATAAATATTCAGACATTACTGAAGAAAGTGAATTTCTGCTGCATTTAAGAAAATGTTTCCTGCATTTCTGTTTCTAATGAAGCTCAAAATAAATTGCATTTTAATTTTTATTTACAGATCAAAGACAGTTTCGTATATGATCTCATTTTACATATACAAAAATCCTCTAGCCTAGGTCTCATTATTTCCATAATGCAAATGTGTAAACTGAGACTCAAGGTGGGAAACTCAGTTTTCTAAGTTTCACAGGCAGGAAATGCTTAACTAGGTCTTCACCCTGGGTCATGGTTCTTGGCCATCATGACTGAGAACATACATGCAATACATGTGACATGAATCTGCACACAAAGAGAAACTGAGATCAATTTTTAAAATCAGGGATCCTAAACACACTAGTAGCAAAAGCAAAAACACACAAATGGAATTCATCAAACTAAGAAGCATCTGTCTCCATCTCCACAGTGCTGGGATTGCAGACACATGCCATTGCACCCAGCTTTTACATGGGTGCTACAGATGCGAACTCAGGTCCTCATGTTTGTGCAGCAAGCACTTTGCCCATTGAGCCATTACCTCATCCTCTAGTTAATTTCTATAAAATTTTATGCAATTCATTTTATAAAATTCCAGGTATTTGTTCAGTTATTATGTATTTAGCATATGCTTTTTCCTTCTCTGTATGGAGTTACATGATTATCTATGTCTCTCTAGTGGAGAACTAGACCTAGTCCCTTTTTTCCCATCTTCAACCTTCAAGGTAATAAAACTGTGTCCTTTCATTAAACAGAGATGATAAAATAAATAATAAGGATTTTGTAACAACTAACATTTCATGCCAAAGGTTATGCATTAATATAAAATATATGCAAATATTTTAAAATGCAAAGTTCATTACACTTTACTATTATTTTAACCATTTATCATTG